AATTTTAAAACACAAGTGTGTTTTAAATTTAACCATGAACGTCTTAGTAAAGAGACACAGTAGAACCGTACTAACTTAATGTGGCTCAAAACGGTTTCCTGTTCTGTTGCACAGTAACAAACTTGACCCACTTTTTGCCATCAATTGCATCTATCTTAAAAACTAGGCTGGTGACCCCATATTTTTTTATAAAGATCTTTTTATTACACACAGAAGAAGAAACAGGAAAAATTAGATAAAAATTCTTCGGAGTAGATTTTGCTTAAATTTTTAAAAATGGAAATTTCAAGATTAGAAAAATTCCACTCCACAGTTTTTTTTTTAATTTCGCACATGCATTCCGCTTTTGCTGTTGAATAATAAAATCTCGACTTTTCAAGATCGCACTTTGGGCACACGTGAAGGCAGTCCGCTACTCGGTAAAGCCCGCAATTCCACGCGAATAAACGCGAATACCCGCGAATAGCGTATTCTTTTTGCTGTTGTCGTTAACAGCATAAGCCGTAGACCAAGAGTACCATAAATACCCGAAGGTGAATCTGGCCTAGTAAAAAGAACGAAGAAAATTTGAAGAGTAGTTTTTTCCTGCTGTTTTTAGATAGATAGCTGGCGCGATCGATCGCAACATCAATCACAATTTTAGTTTACGCTCCAGTACAGCGGTTTAAAATAATGTTTTTTCTTTTGAAATTGCCTGAAGGATGGACATTTTCGAAGATAAAAATAAGCGATATCGCGAACAGTTCACTAAAATAGGTTGAAACAAAGTTTTACGAAGTAGGCCTCGTGCCGCCATGTTTGTTGTGAGTTTGCAAACTTGAAATCTCGCGCGCTTTCTCGCGACCCCTCGGGTGATCGCATGATGCCTAGCGCTGAAGTGCCCGTTAGAGTCCAGGCTTCTCACGGAAATATTACTTTTTAAAGCCATTTTAAATCTGGAATGAGGTACTTCGAAGTTGAGGGTCTTGAGGTGCGGAACTAAGGATGTAGGCTGTGGGGCGTAGGAGGTAGGCATTGGAACAGAAGACCCAATTTCAACCTAACAACTACATTTCTGAGCCTAAATGAAATGAAGAAAATGTTAGAAGTAACTAAGAAGCACCTCAGTTAGATGCATAGGTTTTGAGTGAGATATTGCCTAAATCCAATATAAGCGTTGGCAGCCTGGATTATCCCTTGGGTACCCCCGGGAAGAAAATCCTACTTGACTACTCTCCATTCTTTCTGTTGGATTGCCGCCATCATTAGAGGCACTCACATGCAATATATTTCCACCAAAGCAAGCGAAACCATGTTGGACATTTAAATGACATGGCAAGAAACATCAGTAACACTCTCGCCAAACGGCTCGTAATTCACGTTTTTGTTCTTACCTCAATCATTATGTCATCTGTAATCTTTTCAACAATTAGATAATGAGCTCGAGAGCGAATAATCTAATTTTTTTAGTTTAAATCTACTAGTCGTTCAAAACTTTATTCAAAATTCTCTTCACAGACACCTCAAAAACGAAAAGACGCCGTTGTCATTTTGTTAACAAGCGCATACTGTTGCACTACTCACTAAACAGAATAACTAGTGAGTAGCGTAGCCAATCAGAGAACGGCATTCATGATAGAACGCTAATAGATTTACACTAATACTGAACAGACGCAGGGCAACATGGAATCTTTTTGTTGAATAGATACACGGCTTAAAATAATAGAGCACGTATGTCC